GAATTCTGAGAAAAAAAGTCAGAAATCTGAGAAAAAAAGTCAGGAATCTGAGAAAAAAAAGTCAGAAATCTGAGACTAATGTCAGAATTCTTAGATAAAGTCAGAATTCTGTCAGAGAAAAGTCAGAATTTCCAGTGGCCCTAACCCTCTTCCGTACAGTTCTAACACGACATAGGTCAAAAGTTTTCTTAGCCCATTCCAAAGGAATCTTAGAGAAGAAAGAGTTCTTTACCGTACATCTATTAGTCTGAAAAAGCTACCATCTTTAAGGCTTTGAGATCTGCTGCTCCTATGGGCTGGAAATCACTTTTTATATCATGAGCCACTTCCATTTCAAAAATAAGCTAAAAATGCCTCTTGTATTTACTGAGGTTATTTTTTTTAGTGTGACAAAATGGGGAAATATTTTAGGATATTTTTTTTAACTCTTTATAAATGCCAGCAGCTTAGAAGAAAACACATGAATCATCTAAGCTGTAACCTTCTCCTCTCACATCTACCAGGGTTTTGTGGTTGCCGTTCTCTACTGCTTCATGAACGGAGAGGTGAGATCAGAACCCTCAGATATAAGGAGAACCGTGTCGAGCCTCATCTAACAGGGAGGATCAATGTTGACGTTGCATATTTTAGGTGCAGCAGGAGTTAAAGAGGAGATGGAAAAGATGGAAGCTCACCCAGCATCTTCCCAGTCGGCGACGTCAGCATCACGGCTCCATCAGCCAGATCGGATCACCTCACACTCAGATCTCCCTGCTGCCATCTTCACCAACCAGCCTCACCAACTCCGGATTCCCTGCAGATACTCTGGAGTTGAAAAACTAGCTCTGTGTCCCAACTTCAGATGCAATCTTAGAGAAGATGAAGTTAAAAGCTATTTATAGACTAACCTAAAAGGTTTTTTGTTTTTTTTTAAGCCTTCTGATGTTAAAAAATAAATAAAGCAGCTACCATAACTGGACCAGGGAAGGTCTTAGAATATTTTAATCTGAATAAAATACTCTAAAACAGTATGTAGACTCATAGTGATGATAAAGCATACTTTCCTTGAATTTTTGTCTTTTGATTAGTTTATTTGCTAAATTAAGGGATGCACTTATTTTCTAACAAAGCTTTTCCATTTTGCTTCCTGTGACTAATAAATTCTGACTTGGTAAAATATATGATGTTGCTTTGTACCTTTATCATTCATTCATTTTAAAACCTGATGAAAGCCAGATCCTTTAAACATAAAAGCAGTCTAGAACAATCTATGGGGATGCAATAATAATAAGCTTAAGAGTCTATTTTAAAAATATATATAAATAAGGGATATATTTAATTTTTTCAGAATAAATGTCTGAATAAGTGGAACATTGAGTAGTTTTGCAGAAATTTTCGGGATCTGAAAGCCTTCAATGAGTAATAATAAAAAAAAAAATTGATTATAAAGATCAAATGGAGGTAGGTATCAATGGATCAAGAAATAAAATTTATCTTTTTGCCCCATACTGGTAAACTAGCAAAAATAAATAAAAATACAACTGAATAATAATTATTTCCACAGTTACAGGTTGAAAAAAGAACAAAAAAAGTTAATATCCCTCATAGGAAACAATAACACAATTTCCTAATCAAAAATGTACATAAAATAATGATCCTATCATACCAGAATGATCGGTTAACCATTATAAAAGGTGTAAAATAAATTTAAATTCTTTGTGGTTTTATTAATTTATGACCTCATAAGGATCCGCCAACCAGCAGCCTGATAATACAATATATTTACTGAAACACCTGCAACCCAAAAACAACGGCTAAATTATAAACATCACTTCCATATTCAACCATTTCACTGAAAATGTCCTCATAACTATAGATCATTTTAACACTTTCATTTGCCTGTTTGATGAAATCAGACCACTGAACCAAAACCGTTTGTCACCTTTAAAGAAACGTTCCACATCTGTTGGCAGCTTATATATAAACAGAAAAAGCAACTGCAGAAGAAAGTGTTGTGAAAACACGTATACTGAAACACTCCTCGTTTTAATTCAAACATCCAATGAACAATTGAAAGGAGTATTATCCAGCATCATCACAGCTAAGTAATGTATGGAAGAGGATTAGGGCCACTGGAAAAAAAAAAAAAAAAAAGGTACAGTAAGTGATTTTTAAATTTTATTTCAGTTTAGTATGGGGAAAAAGTCAGAATTCTAATTTTTTTTCTCAGAGTTCTGACTTTTTTCTCAGAATACTGACTTAAATATCAAAATTCTGACTTTTTTTTCTGAGAATTCTGACTTTTTTTCTCAGAATTCTGACTGAATTCTGAGGTTAAGGTCAGAATTCTGAGAAAAAAGTCAGAATTCTCAGAAAAAAAAAATCAGAATTCTGACTTTTTCCCATACTAAACCTAAATAAAATTTAAAAATCACTTCTTTTTTTTTCCAGTGGTCCTAATCTTCTTCCATAGTAATGAACCAACATTATGATTGTTAAAAGGAAAATGAAAAAAAAAATCCTTCTGCTTGTTGCAATTTTATCCCTCAATAATCCAATTACTGTAGGAGGTCAAATAAAAAAGCAAAAAGAAAACATTTTTAGATCACAAGTTAAAACTTGCTCATGATATTTCATACTGGAGTATTATTGGGAATCAGCTGGAAGAGCCGAACTCAAACCTCGGTTTCCTTGCACCGTACCATATTCTGTTAGATCATTGCTAAAGAAGCTGGCTGTGCTCGTTGATGCTTCATATGAAATTGACTAATAGAATAAATCCTGACAGCAAATGGACAGAAAACCAAATTAGAAAAGCACCTTATGGTACTCATAACTTACCACAGCAGCTGAGCTAAGAAACATTAAAACTGTAAAACGTTTTGACAGACGGCTATACTTAAAGATATCTAATGGTAAAATAATAATACATCTTCTGTCCTGATGTTTGAATGCAAAAACAAAAAGGAGACATTAATTTTTTTTATTATTTGTTTATTGTCACATCTCTGAAATCTAGATTCCATATTTTTCTTTTAGCTTCTCCACCAACTCAACGTAAGCCGCCATTGCTTCTTCTTTAGACAGACCTGAAAACAGAAAGCATATCGTTCTAGCAGCGTTGTAGGAATGTTTTTTTTATTGATTTATTAGATGTTGAGTTAAAGCTTGATGAATCCAACCTTTCTTTGCGTTCCATGCGTCCCATTTTGCTTTTCCTGTAAAATCAAACACCCCTGGTCGATCTGTGGATATAAAAACAGGTTTGTTTTTTAAGGCAAAATATTTTTTATTGTGGCCATTTAGCTTCAAGCAATCCCCCACAACAAGGAGCCTTAAAATCTAACCTGACTTAAAGTAGAGATAAAATACCAGTCAGATCTCTTCCCATTCCTTATCTGAAGTCTTAAGTCTCAGTTCCTCGCTAAGAATAACTGGAGATGTCTTTGAATTTGACTACATGCATTGAGATGGTTTAGGTATTTTGGAGGGCATAAGTCGCCCCCTCCTGGAAGTTCTTGGTACTGGACACAGAGGGTTACTGCATATATTATATTTTGCTAATTTTAAATACAAAATGTGTACGGTATTTAAAAAGTAGCAGAGGTAAAATAATTTCTGCTTTTCCAAAGACAGTTTCATCAAACTTATGCAGAAAGAGGCAGAAGTTGAATATTTTTAATGCCCCAAAGTGCAGCTGTATAGGATATTATTATAGGATATAGACTGGACAGGAAGTATGATCTGAAAACAAATGCACAACGATCTTTTCAGATGTTTATATATAAAAGAATTTGAAAAAAAAAAAAATACTAAATGTTGCTCTACTTTGTGTTTATTATAGAATAGATAATCCCTTTATTGTCCCACAATAGGGACATTCTGGTGTTTACAGCAGCAAAAAGATCATAGAAAAAAATTCTGGACATTAAAAACGTGTATAAGAATAACGATAGTAAAGAGTTAAAAAATAAACAAACTAAATAAGTGTTTTAACTATATATAAAAAAATAAAAAAAAAACTGTGCACCTTGAGAATAAATAACCAATAAACAGCTAAAAATGACAGCAGCATGTTATTTAACTGACTAAGATAGAAACAGTGCAAAATCAGCATGAATGTAACAACTTATTGAGAAAAAGAAACAAAGAAAGTGACTTTTGTTGCATAATGAAACGGCACTGCACGGTGTGCAGCTAAACCTGCTTTATTGGATTCCTTTTTTTGGAGGTCACATGGGTCTACTGTGCTTTGAGCTGCAAGATAAGGGAATAAAGGTGAAAGGGAATAAAGATGTCCGACTCAAGGGGCGTAGCCAGGCAATAACCAATGTACACTGAGGGGGGGATCGAAAGCGGATCGGCACCAGAACTTCAGGGTCAATCTACACTGTTTCAACAGGAAAATTAACGAGTAAAACATCCATATTTTCTAAATAAAGACTAACTATACTTTCCTACAGCCTTTGCTACAAAGTAGATGCATATATTTAAACACCTGTAATTTCTAGATAAAAGGTATAGTGGATAAACTCAGTTTTGAGATCTGGGGTGTAAATCTTTTCCATCATCATTACTTACCTACTTATATCTATAAACATTCTGCTCAGAATTAATATTTGCGTAGCAAGACACAGAATAGTGACCTTTGTCTGGTATTAATGACGTTCAGGTCGGATGAATGCGACCTGGCCGTTCACACACAGGTCGCATTTAAAAAGATCAGATTCGTATCGGATTCAGGACCACATAGCCAAGTGGTCTGGGTCGCATTGGAAAAAAATCGGATCCGTTTTGTTAAGATAGCCATGAAAAAGATCAGACTCAGGTCGCATATGGGTAAAAATATCGGATTTGGGTGACTTCAGGCTGCAGTGTGAACGTAGCCATGGACTGAAATCTGACTCCAAACTTGCGCAGAAATTTGAATGCTGCTCGAGTCAAAAAGGCTTTTAAATCTTTGTGTAGGGTGCTGATATGCTAGATCTCCCAACTATTGTTTACAAATATTTTTCTTAATTTTTACCTCCTTGTTTGACAAATTTTGATTTACAGCTTACCTCTGTTAGCTTAAACCATGTTATCTGTGTTTTTATCACTTCTGTAGATTTTATTGCTTGACGTATTGTTTGAATTAACGCCTTGTTTTGTTTGCATTTCTCAACATCACTGTCAGGCAGCAATTAGCAGCATAGTCGGCCATCTTGTTTTCCGTTTCGTTGTTTGATGCTTTCCCTCATCTTACCTTTTTGACTTTGGATGTATGAATTCCTAAATATAACTAGAGGTACAAAGTCAAACACGGTTGATAGATTCTAGTTATAAAATAAGGATATATATGCACCCAATGTATTAGGAAAACCTATGCAGCATTTGAAATCAGATTCAATTTTTTGATAAATGGCCCATGGCCACCCCTGGGCTCCCATCTAGCTCCGCCCCTGGTCCGATTTAGGGCTGGGTTGCACATATTGTGAAATTTTGAAACCTTCTGACTCTCTCTTGTTCACTAGACTAAACTTTCTTTTCCCAAATCCTTCTTAAACCCCGCCCATGAAAACCTGCACACTATAAACTCACCAATATTGACGTCTCCAACAGTGCCTTGTTTATATAAGCCATAAAGTGCAGTCAGTTCTCCCTGGTCTGGTTTTTGTTTGAGGACCTTTACCTCCTCTGCTGCTTTTTCAAAAGCTTCCTGGGAGAGAATGAAAGAAGAGGAACTTTAAGACCACGTGAGCCTGAAAGAACTCCACGTGCGCAATCAACCCCAATAATCTCAGAGATTCACATTTTCCAGATCAGTTCGGTTAGATTGTAGAAAATAGTGTTAGTTTAAAACAAGACAGCACTTACAGACATGATGACGGGGACAACGCCTGCTGCTGTGGAAACCTCCTGCCTGGTGGCTCAACTTCCTCAACTCCTCCTGCAAATCATGTCACGCGCTCGATAAGCCCGGGATGAGTGGGAGGGATTTCCAAAGCGATCATACGATGCAAGCAATAATTAACAACAATCAATAGAGATCAATAAAGAAACAGGTTTGGAGTCTGTTTGGGGTTATTTTACGACTTTCTTCTGAGTTGGATTCGCTTTTTTACATATTTTATTCGGGTCGTTCAGGTTGCAGTTCACAAATCTGCCACAAGATGGCAGCATTGTATTATTTCGCTCCATTCTGCTTAACGTTTGCTAAAACTAAAAATAATGATTGTTTGTGTATATTTGACTCGGTTTAAAGGTGAATATAGGTGCTTCACAAAATATTAGCATATTGTGATAATAATGCATTTGATTTCTACTGCACTTTTCATCAAAAAGACCTCCAAGTACTACAAAAAAGAAAAGCATTAAAAAAAATAAATACATTAAATAAATAAATAAATGATAAAGTTAATTATTTTCCATAATGCAATGGTAAAACCTAAACATATATTTTAGATTCATTACACCCTAACTGAAATATTTCAATTTCTTTTATTGTCTTAATATGGATGATTTTGGCATACAGCTCATGAAAACCCAAAATTCCTATCTCACAAAATTAGCATATCATGAAAAAGGTCTCTAAACGATGCACCAAATCATCTGGATCAACAAATTAACTCTTAACACCTGAAAAAGATTCCTGAGGCCTTTAAAACTCCCAGCATGGTTCATCACTCGAAACCCCAATCATGGGTAAGACTGCCGACCTGACTGCTGTCCAGAAGGCCATCATTGACACCCTCAAGCAAGAGGGGATGACACAGATATTTCTGAAAGAATAGGCTGTTCCCAGAGTGCTGCATCAAGGCACCTCAGTGGGAAGG